GTGATAGCTGACACATAAAACATAGTTCAACAGAAAGCATGTATTTTCTGGTTCTAAAAAAAAGCTGTTTAGTTTAAAAGTGAAGAATTTATTATATTCTTTTTTTAATCTCTTTTTTCTTGTTATTTTACAAACACAACACTTTTCTTTTCAAGCTTTGGCTAGTCGCTTTCCTGGTGGAATGGTACAGATTAAAACGTTCACTAGTAAAAGTCCAACACTTGTTTTTGACGGTGCTAAAGGCGTGGCTGCAATTGAAAGTTTAGTTGAAGCTTATGTACAGGTTAGTCTAGTTTATTCAAAAACTTTTTTTTTTTATTTACAGGTATTTGTCTAAAAAAAAGGCAAAAAAAAGTTTATTTCATTGGCATTTTTAAAGCTAATCTATAGCGTAATGTTAAGCTTGACAGTTGTTGGTCTATGCATTAAAATGTTTTCTTTTTAATTATTTTTCAATAATCACTTACAGTGACAGTAATAAATGTTTGAATAAATAGAATTCTGTTTTTTGTTTTTTTTTTGCAGCAAACAGATAAAACAACTCGATTTTTAACTGCAAAAATGACTGTAGATGTATCGTTAACAAAATTCGCTTTCAAAGACTATGAATTGACAACTGTAATGAAGATTGAAAAGTTTAAAATTTTTGACATTGTCAGCACAGTGGATGGAATTGATGCACAGTCATTGGAATTTCTTGTAAGTGCATTAAACGAGTTGGTAATCGCTGATGATCTGGCAAAAAAACTTAAAGGAGGTAATCAGTTTTTTTTTTGTTTTTCTGGTTTTTGTTGCTGTTGTTTTTTCTTTTTTTTGTCCTTTTAACTCATCAACTTTTTTCTTTTCTTCTGTTTCATGCCAACATATTTCGTAATCATTTGTTAAGATCAATGAAGAAAACAAAAATGAATGGATTTATTTCTCTTGTTGTTCTTATTATTAATGTTTTCTAATTTTTTTTAGGTATTAAATTACCAATAATGTTAGATTTTCCACAAAAATCTGCTGATGTAGTGGTTGAAAAAGATGCATTACGGATATCAGTAAATTTCTGCTATGAACAAAACTGTGATTCAATAGCCGAAAATAAGGATGATATCGACTATTATGATGCCGTAAAAAGCTAAATACAGTTGACCAAAAACAAAAAATGATAACAGAATATTGAAAAAGAAAGACAACAAATTTGTTGTCGAAATAAATAAATAGATACTATTATATAATGTGTATAAGTATTTGGACCAAAGATTTCTGAAGCTGTCATTAAGTATGTTCTACTTAGCACTGAAAAACTACACTGAAGTATCGGCGTCGTCGTCGTCGTCGTCGTCGTCGTTGTCGTCGTCGTCATGGTCGTTGTTTTTGTCGTTATCGTTGTTGTTGTTGTTGTTGTGGTCGTTTGAGAAACTGTCAGAAGAAAACTACTTTGATGATTACTGTAGCGGATGTACTTTTTCTAGGTATCATTATATTACTATTGTACTGTTGTACCTCCCTTCCCTCCCTGTTCACGGCCCAAAAAAATAAACGGTTATCAGTTATATTTTATCACTGATAGTTGCTGAAAAAATTTGTATATTTCTGCCTTCATTTATTGCTTCTTTTTCATTTGGTTCTTTCTCGAATTTTCTTTTCACTTTCTTCATCGCCTCTGTTGTCGTCAACGTTGTTAACGTCGTCAGTTGCGTCATAAGCGCTGCTGGTTTTCGTATTCATAAAAAAGTTTTTAATTTTGTCATCTAAATAAGAAGAAAAAAATAAAATTTATTTATCATTAGTAGCTAAAAGTAAAAATTTATGTTTTTTTTTCTTGAAATACACAAAATTTACTCTTTCATATGCTAGCTGAATTGTATCCTTTTGAGAGCAGGTTTTTTTCCGGGTTTGTCAAACATCTAAAAATGGCTTTAAAAGACTTTAAAGAAATATACATATGTATTTGATATAAGAAATTATTTGTTGTTCCTTTTCTTTCATCATTTGTTCATTTTTAAAATTTCTTTTTATTTTTTTTTCATTTTAAAATTTATTTTTTTTTTATTTTTTGACAAAAACTTTCCTAATGTTTATCCATCAATTATTTGCTGCCGCTGTCATCGTTGCTGTCGCCATCGGCGTCATCATCATTATTGCCATCATCAGTAGCAGTAGCAGTAGCAGTAGCAACAGCAGTAGCAGTTGCAATAGCAGCAGCAACAGCACCAACAGCATCACCATCAACATCAACAGTAGCAACAGCATTAATTATAATCGCTATTTGAATTCTGTCTTACTGTGTCCATGTTTATTCGATGAGATTTGAGAGCAAAAAAAAAAAGAACTTATATACGAATAAAAATAACGAGAAAAAAAAAGAAATAAAAATTACTAGACAACTGTTTAAATAGTGAAAAATATTACAGAAAAAATTTTGCAAGAAAAAAACAACATTCTAAGTAGTTCTTTTTTTTTTTCTAATTTTCATTGGAACTCTCACGTTGTTGTATATATATATATATATATATAAATTGTGGAACTTTTGCTTCAATTTTTTTCCCCTTGACAACGTTTCATTCAAGTTTTTATCACCCTAAAAATCTCTGAAGTCTGTCTGTTTCTTTTTCCTGTTTCTTTTTTTTTCCTCCACCATTTTAGTTTTAACATTTTGATTTTTGCAACAAAGAAAAGTTTATTTCGTATCCCAAAGAAAAATTAAAAAATTATAAAAAATTAAGAGAAATTTTAATTATATTTTGAAAAATAAACCGTGGAGGAAATTTTATAAACTGTAGAGGAAAAAAAATTTTGTGCTGCAATTTGTGATATCGTCGTACAACTATATTCTTCCGGTTTTACCGTATCCCTGTATTTTGTTCAGTACTCTCCTCTCTGTTCCTCTCAAAGTCAGTTTGGGTGCAATGTAATCGAAATATTTGTAATTTCGTTTTTTTTTGCATACTTTTTATTTTTTTTCTATAAAGTTATATTTTTTGATAATTTTTGCCTCAGTATTCGTATCTGAATTTGATGAGAAACGATGATATTAGTTTTTGTTCTGCTGTTCTTCGCCCCTATTCATTTCTGTTTAGTTTTTCCTCATCTAATTCTTTGTATAATATTTTTGCACGAATATGCTACATAAAATTGCTGTTGTT